GCTCACAAATCGCAATGTCATGACCTGAGCCAAAGTCAGACACTCAACTGACTGAGCCACCCGGGTGCCCCAGGGGACACAGGCTGACACATGTACCTGCATCAGTATTCATGCTCATCGGTGTACGTGTGCTGGTGCACGTGTGACACATACACAGGACACATATAGGGCGCACATCTTTTTTCCCTCCTGGACAAGGAATTGTTGGAGAAGCTCAGGCAGTATCTGGCCTGGGCTGGACTGGCCCCAGAATCAAGGGTCACCTGGGCTCAAGCCAGTTGCCAGATGCCTCTTGGTATTTTGCAGGCAGACCATGTGGACTTTGGTGAGCTGGGTGGCCTTAGTGGCAGGGCTGGTAGCTGGAACACAGTGCCCAGATGGTCAGTTCTGCCCTGTGGCCTGCTGCCTGGACCCAGGAGGAGTCGGCTATAGCTGCTGCAGTCCTGTTCTGGTGAGTGCCCTTCTGCCCAGGTGAGAGCTGGCAGGCTGGGATTTCCCAAAGGGTCATCTTAGCTTGGCTAGAGGAGGGGGCCGAGCTTGGGTCCTTCAGTTTATCTCCTCCTCTCACTTTCCAGGGCAAGGGGCCCACAGCGCTGAGCAGGCATCTGGGCAGACCCTGCCAGGTAGATGCCCATTGCTCTCCTGGCTACTCCTGCCTCCTCACCATCTCGGGGACCTCCAGCTGCTGCCCATTCCCAGAGGTGAGGGTGCTATTAGCCCAAAAGAGGGGCTCAAGTCTGCATACAGACGTTTCCTCCACTCACCCCAGGTAAAAAGTCCTCGCCAATGCAGGCATCTCTGTCCCACAGGCTGTGTCGTGCGGTGACGGCCGCCACTGCTGCCCACGGGGCTACCACTGCAGCGCTGACGGGCAGTCCTGCTTCCGAAGACCAGGTGCGGCAGGGGTGGAGGTGGAGGGTGGGCAGATGGGTGGTCTGTGGAGGCTGGACTGCCCAGGAACCCAGCCATCTGGGTGACCTGATTCCTGACCTTGTGCCCTCATTCCTGTGGCATCTGTACTAAGCAACGCCTTTGCTCTGGACAGAAGGGCACACTAGGCTAGGAAGGGGCAGGAGACAATGCCAGCCTCCAGGCCCAGGGCCAGGCATTGTGAGGGTGGAGAGACGCCAAGCTGGGCTGGTTTAAGGCCAACGCAGGCAGTGGATGCCCCTGCCCTGTGCCGTGTTGCTGAGGCAATGAGTGGCTTGTGAGGAGAGTGGGTTAGGAGTGCCTGGGAGAACACCCAGCCCCAGTGCCGGCCCCCTAGTCCCCACCCCCCACCCCCAAGCCCGCAGGCCCTGGTGCCAGCCACTCCTTCAGTGATGGGATAATGGCTTCCACTGACTGGGTTGGTGGAATCCTGGGTCATCCTGTCCACAGATACCAACCCCTTGGGTGCCATCCAGTGCCCTGATGGCCGGTTCGAATGCCCCAACTCCTCCACGTGCTGCACTATGCTAGATGGCTCCTGGGGATGCTGCCCCATGCCCCAGGTACAGGCTTGGGAAGATGGGGGGCGGTGGGGAGCAGTAGGGGCAGAGCAGGGGACTGGAGGGAGCCAAGACAGAATCAGAACCATCTCTTGTCAGGCTTCTTGCTGCGAAGACAAGGTGCACTGCTGTCCCCATGGTACCTCTTGTGACCTGGCTCATGCCCGCTGCCTCACGGCCACAGGGACCCACCCCCTGGCAAAGAAGATTCCTGCACAGAGGAGTAACCGGGCAGGTTAGGGGATGGGAGAGCATCGGGTTGGGGGTTGGAAGTGGGGCAAGGCCTCATCTGGCTCCCAGCTGGGGAGAAGTTCCCCACCGCCTTGGCTGCCCACAGGCCTCTCTCCCCTTTCAGTGGTCCTGTGCCCCGATGCACAGTCCCAGTGCCCTGATGGTTCTACCTGCTGTGAGCTGCCTAGTGGGAAGTATGGCTGCTGCCCAATACCTAATGTGAGTGAAGGGCTGTGTGCCCACAGCCACCTGGCCTGGACACCTAAGCACTCCAGGGGGTGGGGCCGGCCGGCAGGCTGTTGGGAGCCTGGCCGCTCAGGACGCATGCCACCCCCTAGTGGGAGACTGAGGCAGTGTCCGCTGTCTCCTGGCTGCTCCCCGAGCTGACGGAGACTCCACGTCACAAAGACCTTCTCCCACCCCCACCCAGGCCGTCTGCTGCTCGGACCACCTGCACTGTTGTCCCCAGGACACTGTGTGTGACTTGGTCCAGAGCAAGTGCCTCTCCAAGGAGAACGCTACAGACCTCCTCACCAAGCTGCCGGCGCACGCAGGTACCAGAGTCTGGCCACAGACCCCATTCCGCCTGCACCATGCGCAGGAGCTCTCCACCAAATTGTTCCAGCAACAGATACGGGGGTGGGGGGGCTGATGCCCACAGGGCAGGTACAGGCCTCTTCCTCCACACTGGCTATTGCCTTAGGATCACTGCTGTGATCCTAAATGTACTCCCATCCTCGGCATCTGGTTCTAGCTACGGAGCCAGCAAAGGGTTGGGTACCCCAAGGGTTCCCAGTGCCACTGCTAACCTGTTCTCCTTGCATTCGTCACAGTGCAGGAGGTGAAGTGTGACATGGAGGTGAGCTGCCCAGACGGCTACACCTGCTGCCGCCTACAGTCGGGGGCCTGGGGCTGCTGCCCTTTTGCCCAGGTACCCGGGAGTAGTGGGTGGGCTGGACTGAGCAGAAGGTGGCAGCCAGCTAGGCCCCGGTGCCCACCGTCCCCTGTCCATCTGCCCTAGGCTGTGTGCTGTGAGGACCACGTACACTGCTGCCCGGCTGGCTTCAAATGTGACACAGCAAAGGGTACCTGTGAACAGGGGGCCCAGCAGGTGCCCTGGATGATGCAGGCCCTAGTCCGCCTCCGCCTGCCGAAACCCCAAGCCGTGGAGAACGATGTCCCTTGTGATAACATCACTAGCTGTCCCTCCTTCAATACCTGCTGTCGACTCACGTCTGGGGAGTGGGGCTGCTGTCCTGCCCCAGAGGTGTGTGGGTAGGGGGATAGCTTGGGGTGCGGGGGGGACAGTGTCTTGGCCTGGGCGGGTAGACTCCTGTTGGCTTTGTTCTTCTGTCGCCTGTCTGGCCCGCAGGTGGCACACCAGCTCTCTGAGACTGTGCCCCAGCCGGAGGAGCTGGGAGTAGGAGAGGGAGTCCGGGTAGGCAGGGGGCTTCCCGTCCCACATAGCAGCTTCCTAGACCATCCTTATCTGCCACTCCCCTTACCCCCCTACAGGCTGTCTGCTGCTCAGACCACCAGCACTGCTGCCCCCATGGCTACACGTGCTTGGCTGGGGGGCAGTGTCAGAGGGGGAACAAGGTGGTGACTGGATTGGAGAAGATGCCTGCCCGCCGGGCTTCCCTGTCTCACCGCAGAGACATGGGCTGTGACCAGCACACCAGCTGCCCAGTGGGGCAGACCTGCTGCCCAAGCTTGAGTGGGGGCTGGGCCTGCTGCCAGTTGCCTCACGTGAGTGCCCTCCCGCCTGCCTCGGACAGGGGAGCGGAGCCCTCCTGGGGAGAGGGGGGAGAGCCTTTAACGCCACTCTGTCCCTCCCAGGCCGTGTGCTGTGAGGACCGCCAGCACTGCTGTCCGGCTGGGTACACCTGCAACGTGAAGGCCCGATCCTGTGAGAAGGAGGCAGACTCTGCCCACCTTGCTGCCCGCCTGGCCCGTGGCCCTCATGTGGGTGTGGGGAACGTGGAATGTGGGGCCCGGCACTTTTGCCACAATAACCAGACCTGCTGCCGAGATAGCCGAGGGGGCTGGGCTTGCTGTCCCTATCGCCAGGTCAGTGCCAGCCCCCTCCTGCCCCCACAGGGCTGGGTATCCACGGGAGCTGGGTCCTGCTGTGTCCAGGTCTGACTCCCCCCTCTGGCCGTCCAGGGAATCTGTTGTGCAGATCAGCGTCACTGCTGCCCTGCTGGCTTCCGATGTGGGGCCAAGGGAATCAAGTGTCTGCGCAGGAAGAGCCTGAGCTGGGACATGCCCTTGAAGGACCCAGCCCCGAGACAGCTGCTGTGAGGAGAGACTGAGGACTGAAGACACTCTGCAGCCCTCGGGACCCTGCTCAGAGAGTACCCACTGCTCAGGCCTCCCCAGCACCTCTTCCCCACCAGATTCTCCCGATTCCCCGATTCTGAGTCCCCCGCCCATCATGGGAGGTGGGGCCTCAATCTAAGGCCTTCCCTGTCTCGGGGAGGGCTGTGGCGAAAGCCATGTTACAAGCTGCCATCCCCTCCCCCAGTTTCCATGAACCCTGTGGCCAGGTGCTCTTCCCTATCCACAGGTGTGTGTTTGTGTGTGTGTGTGTCTGTGTGTGTGTGTACGTGTGCGCGCGCTGCAGTAAAGTTTGTACACTTTCTTAATAGTGTCTGATTTTGGCCACCCTGCCTGCCCCACCATGAGCAAGGGCCCCCATCCCCTGTCCACATTCCCCAACCCCACAGAAAGACCCACACGGAGTTAATCTCACCAGTTTTATATTTGCCGTTACCCACAGCAATCCCATCACATTATCCCCTAGTCCCCAGAGCCGCCCCCGCCACCAGCCCTGTGACCTCGTAGCCCAGAGGTGAGCTAGTCAGCAAGCAGCATCCCCTCCCCTCCCTGGGGTCCACAGAGAAGGCCCCCTCCCTTCCCAGCCCTCACACTAGCTGCTGAGGCCGGTTGCCCCTCCTGCTTTCCCACAATAGATCTTTCTATGTACAGCCACGTTTATACAGGCACTGCTTCCCCCCACCCAGCCCTCCTTCCCCAGCACCTCCCAATGGGAGTCTGGACCCCTACCACCTCCCGGTCGGAGGTCGACACGGGTCCCTCCCGAAACATTACCCAGTACATACCACTGGACAGCTCCGCAGGCCCCCGGGCACCTCTCCAGGAGGGGGACTGAAGACTAAGAGCGAGGGCCCCCGCGGGCCCCGGGGGCACGCACCCTGGGGGCGGGCCCGGGTGGAAGGGGCGGGGGCGGAGGCGGGGCCGGCCCGGGCGGAGCCGCTACTTGACGTTGAATACCATAAGCGGCCGCTCCTCCCGGCGCTGCCAAGGGCTCTTCTTGTCGCCCGCCTCGTCGCCCACCTCCGCCCCCAGCTCGTCCTCCGGGCTGGTGAGCGAGTCGCGCCGCAGCTCGCTGGCG